TTAACCTCCAAACGAAATTCTCCGGACACGCCACTAAATCGGGACAAGCTCACGTATTCTGTGATTACAATTCGTTGTATTCGCCTGCTCAGGGAAATTCCACAACGTGATAAGCAAACACTTGTTGCACTACAAGACTTGCGTGAAAGATGGCGATTGCTTGAGGAGGCCTCTATCCAAAAGTGGATAGATCATGGCTGATGATTATGGCTCAAGCAATATGCATTCAGATCGATTTGAAAAATTAACAGACGCAAATTGGCAAAACACTTTAGTGACATCTAGTGTCGGAATTTATATTTGCCCATGGCTTCGAAAATTAACCGAGCACGTAAAAATGTATCGTTGAAATAAAATCTTATTACACTCGTGATACATGCATGGCTACAGTCATGCACATATTAATTCATCACAAACTATGTGAAAATATGACAATAACAAATATTACAATTAAGCTAAAGATGTTATTTGGAATTAGACACGTGAGAATATCAATGGGACAGTAATGAACGAGCCAAGAATAATTTCCTGAATCGAATCACGATGCATGTGAAACTTCTTTCGCACCGTACATAGCCAACCGTGCTAATCGGAGATCCTGCTAATCGTAAACGCTGATTTATAACAGTTTGTCGAATCATATGGGGTTTGATTCTTTCCATGCACAGTATGCACACATTGATCGATCGGCAATCAGCCGATTGGCACGTCGCACGTGGTGGGATAAAGTTTGGCTGCTCCCACCTCTACCGAGAAGTCTGGCCAGCGTGAAAGAGTAGACCAAGTTACCCTCCAGAGGGGCTCTCTAGATCTCCCGCTAGTGGAGGCCTTACCACCAGCAGCGGCGTGAGCAAGTCTTCTTCTTCTTCCGTACGGCTGCTGATGTAGACGCAGAGCAGCAACTACAATTTCACATTCAGGTGGTCTAGCCAGACAACCGCGTCAGGAGCAGAGGGGTCTCTTTCGTATTTGTGAGTCGGGCATTGCGTCGTTCTATGTTGTATGGTCTGTTCTGGATGACCACGGTCACACCATTAAAGGGTTGCACCTTTACTTTATATATATAAAAAACTTAAATTCACACTTTTAATGCTATCAGTTTCTGCTATAAGTATACAACACAATTGGCGAATACGCCAATGTCTCTACCCACCTTAACCTACAATCCTCACCCAATTTATATTGTTGTCAGCAGCTGGGATTGGGGAAATGTAATTCACATGAGGTGCATGTTTATTGGCTTGTACTGCTAGATTCTCTGCAGGATTCATATCTACAAAATCCACATCAACCATTTCCCCCAATGGATACTGTTGATATGCACGTGTCTCCATTGGTTGCCTAGGAGTCCCAATAATCCTCGTAATTAAATTCATCACCAGAGTAAATGCTAATTAGTGTGCCCTTACATCGGATAGTACTTAATTTCGCACTCATCTGCTCGATTAAGCCGTATTATATTAAAAAAAAACAATAGTCTAATCATTAGTGCTGTCCTGTAGGAAGGTCACGTGCATGACCTGACCCATTCTCAAGTGGAAGGTGCTCCGTGAATTGTGATGTGGCACACTTGAAAAAAAACAAGCTATCATAACAGAGGTTTAACCTTTTTGGCAATAAAACAGGTGTTAAGATGTTAAAACACCAAACTGAAACCTTTGCAAGGAATCATGTCTGCATTAACCACATATGAAAAAAGTGGCGGGTTTTTTTTTCCAATTTTTTTTTGCTGTGGTTTTCACACCTGATGATGATTGCTTGTGTTGCAGTCGAAACATCGTGAGAATTGTATTGTTTTATATTTGTATTATTTTATTTTTTCCCTTCTACGTGACTTTACCGAAAGAACCAATAATGAATCCCTGAAGTCACGAAAGCTTTAAATCAAAACTATTAATTAGTTTTACATTTAAATTTATTGATAAATACATCTTGATTCTCATTTCAAAAGTTAGAAGTATTTTTGTTACATTAAATTGTTTATTAAGAAACAGTACTACAATGTTTATTAATAAACTGTACGACAATTGACATTATACGGTCACTGCATCCAGTGCAGATTGGACCCAGTAACGTCTTTCATGGACAACAATAAATCACTATACTTTAATTATAGTGCAGTACGGTATATAGTACGGTATATAGTCAGTGAACAAATGGTGGCCATTTTCGAAATATGTTGGCCATCTGTGATGTTTAGGTGGCTTGCGCATTTGTGTTCTTAATAAGTGACCTCTGGAGATAATACAAGCCAAATTTGGAGCTGATATCCATTTGGACGATGAACCACGGCATCAGCTGGGAGGGTAAATGACAAAATGGGTGAATCACAGGGTACAAGCACCATTAAATTCAGATGTAACATTGAAACGTACCACTTATGCACCCTTGATAAATGAAACCCACTCGAATTGGAGACATAACTGAGAGGAATCAATTGGGACAGAAGGATTTAGTGAGGTGAGAAGAAAAATGAGAGATCTCCATGCATTTTAAAAGTAGCAATATTTTCTGTCATTGAGCGCTGACAGTAATAATGTAAGAGTGGGTTTATTAGTGTTTCCAGGAATCAAACACAGAGCTTTCGGATTCAAGAATACTCTTCTTCACATAGTTACCTGGCCAACATTAAGGCTCTTAAACCACGATAGGTTTAAGATGAACACGTGGATAACGGGACAAGGAAGATACATTAGAGACATCTTATTGAACGTTAAGGAAAGAAAGTGGGCTTCACCAGGTCACACTGCTAGACGGGGTTGGTGGCCGATATAAATAAGACTGGTAAAAGATAAGCAAATTAGAAAATATGCCTGAGAGGGTGATGACCACAGCAAAACGTGAGGGACGAGATCAGCCGACGTGCAGGAGGAGATGGACTGTGAAATCGCAAGACCTCAAAAGATTGGTGATGGCGTGGAGAGCCCTTCATCCAGCAGTGGATGTATAATGGTTGGTTATGATGGTTATGGTGATCATAGTAACGCCCACCTTGTGAACGGGTGATCACAGCAACAGGTGATCTCACACAAACCACCAAAATTCCGAATGTGGCCTATTTAACAATGACGACCACAACACGTATGTAACACTGTTCACATATTTGACACTTGACCATAAAAAAAACATGTAAAAACCACCACAGTGACAATCTCTACATAGAATCTGCAGTTCATTCCCTGTGCACACACACTTACAACTGTATTAGAACAAAATATATTGACCAGTGACCACACATTGGTGGTTTACCAAAAACTGACCACCAACATGGCGTTTGGTGATCGACAAGTACGGGGCCGTCCATAAATGACGTCACGCACCTAGGGGGGGGGGGGGCAGACATTTGTGACGATGTGTGACGAGGGGGGGGGGGGGTTGAGAAATGTGACGTCACATCAAAATGCGCAACTTTAAATAAATATAGAATTGTTATTACAACACTAATTGTTACAACACTCTTACAACATCAGAGTGCAGCGCCACATTAAATACGCACTACAATGACAATAGTTTAAAGCGATTTGAAGCATAATAATAGGGGTTTTCCCCTTTTTTCTGGCAACAAAACTGAAACCTTTTTTACAAGGATTCATGTTTACTGCATTAACCACAATACCTGCAGTCAAAATGCAAACAAAAAACACACACTATGATAATATATTGGCATTGTCCTTGAAACTGATTGGTCCACACCAAGGGACGGCTTTCTTTTGAGCCTCGACCCAATTGGTGCTCGACCAGATGACGCCAAAAGGCGTTACACAGCTCAAAGACAATGCACTATCAAAGTAATGAGGGCTCGGGGTGAGCATCTACATTATTAGACCTCCTTTGCCAGTACCAAAATGTAATAATAGGGGTTTTCCCCTTTTTTCTGGCAACCAGAAAAAAAGGGAAAAACCTGGCAACCAGAAAAAAGTGGAAAAACCCTATTATTACATTTTGGCACTGGCAAAGGAGGTCTAATGATGTCGATTTGAAAACACACTGATAATATATTGACATTGTCCTTGAAACTGATTGGTCCACACCAAGGGACGGCTTTCTTTTGAGCCTCGACCCAATTGGTGCTCGACCAGATGACGTCAAAAGGCGTTACACAGCTCAAAGACAATGCACTATCAAAGTAATGAGGGCTCGGGGTGAGCCAGAAAAAAGGGGAAAACCCCTATTATTACATTTTGGTACTGGCAAAGGAGGTCTAATTATGTCCATTTGAAGCATGTTTTATTTTTGGAGGGGGGGGGGGGCAGAGCTTTGTGACGTCATATTTTAGGGGGGGTGTGACTTTGTGACGCCGCGTGACGAGAGGGGAGGAAGGGTCAAAAAATCGTCCTAAATCGCGTGACGTCATTTATGGACGCCCCCTACATTATGAACAATGGCCACCAACATTTCAGGTGCCGACTTTCTTTCCAGAGGTACAAATAAAAAGAGCTACCCATTAACACGGAAACAATCTCATTCACTCAAACGTAACCGCAACATGACCGCAAAACATGTCAGCCGGTGGGAGAAACTAACAATGACCACCAACATGGCGGATGCAATAACAAAAAAAACGATTACAACGATCAATTTCGACGCACAAACTTAGACAAATCCCCACCCCCTCCAGAACATGTCACGACCGGTTACCTCACTTGTGCAAAAAGAAAACAAAACGACAGCGCATAACCGCCGTGTAAAAAAATAAAAAATAAAATTCTAAACTGACCACCAACATATTCTTGGTTCTTTCGGTAAAGTCACCACCACGTAGAAGGGAAACAATAAAATAATAAAAATATAAAACAATACAATTCTCACGACGTTTCGACTGCAACGCAAGCAATCATCATCAGGTGCGAAAAAAGTGGCGGGTTTTTTTGTTGCGTGTCTTTGTTGTGGTTTTTCACACCTGATGATGATTGCTTCTTGTGTTGCAGTCGAAACGTCGTGAGAATTGTATTATTTTATATTTTTTTATTATTTCATTGTTTCCCTTCTACGTGGTGGTGACTTTACCGAAAGAACCAAGGCTATGAATCCCTGCGGTCACCAAAGCTTTAAATCAACAATCTGACCACCAACATGTCGGCGGGTGACGTCACCAGTTCACCTCAGCCCGCCGGTCATCGCCGTCGACATCATCATCATCGGCAGCACCACCATCGTCGTCACCAGTGGAATGACAGCATCAGCAGCAACAACAACAGCGGCGGCGATAAGCTGAGGAGGAGAGAGAGAGTGAGAGGGGCGGTAAAGCGCGGGTTGTCCGTTCGCGCGCGCGCTCGCTCGCTCGCCATCACGCTCAGGAGTCTTCCTTTGTCGCCTCGCACCGGGGAGAGCTTCCCCCTCCACCTTGCGGGGAGAGAAGAGGCGAGCGAATGCCATGAGCCGCTCTCGCCCGGCTCCCGAACCGGGGCCGCCACCACCGTCACCATCATCCTCCTCCTCGTCCTCCTCCTACAGAAGCTGAGCTTCGACGGTAGCAGCCGCGCGACACGAGGGGGGTGACCCGCAAGGCGCGGAGGGAGGCTGCGCGGCGCAGCTGAAATGACAGCGCCCGTATCCAGGGCGAGCCATGGCGGCGCGACTTCCCCGGCCCACGGCTTCGCTACCCGCGCCTGAGCCGGACCTCTCCTCATCATCCGCGTCTTCCACATCGTCCTTCGCCTCGTCGTCGTCGTCCTCCTCCTCGTCCTCGTCGTCATCGTCGCTGGCCTCCATGCTGCTCGCCATCGCCCGGGAGAGGCAGAGGCTGGGCTGCGGGCAGGGTGAAGATGGCCCGGAGCCGAGTGGTGGTGGGTGTTTGGGTGCGGGGATTGCACAGGCCCAGAGGGTGGGTTTGTGTTTTTTGTGGGGTTAGGGCCAGATCGGTGTGGTGGTGGTGGTTGTTGTTGTGGTGGTTGTTGTTGTGGTGGTTGGTTGGCACGGTGGGCATTGTAGTCGTTGGTGGTGGTGGCGGCGGTTGTTGTGGTGATTGGTCATTGCAGATGTTTTAGGTTGCACTGTAGTTGTGTGGTCATTGTTGTGCTTGTACTTTTGGTGGGCATGATGATCGTTGTGCTTTATGGTCACCTGTGGTGGTGGTAGGCCATTGTGGTGACGGTCATTGCAAACGTGGTGGTAGTTGGTGGTCATTGTGGCCGGATTTTCATTGTGGCCGGCGGTCATTATTGTGTTGTGATGGTCGTTGTGCGGCGCACGTTGCAATCATTGTAGCTACGGTGAGTGTATGCTCATTGTTATGATGGCATTCATTGTCGTGGTGATCATTGCGGTTGGTGGTGTTCGTTGTGCAGGTGATATAGTCGTCGTGGTGGAGGTCATTGTTATGGTGGTCATAATGGTAGGAGTGGTCATTGTGCTGATGCTGGTCGCTATGGTTGTTGGTGGCAATGTTGAGATGGTGCTGAAAATTGTGGTGGAGATATAGCCATTAGATATGACAGGTTCAGAAGTACACTGTAATTGTAACCTTATTCAATTCATTGAATACCCCCTGCCGTGAAAATGTAAAGTTACCACCCACCACTGGCATAGAGGTCTCGATAAGAGGCGTGTGCCACATAATTGTTTCCTTCCAAATTATTTTTTTTAAATGCATTGGCGTTAGTGTAGGTAATTGGTGTGGTTGATGAAGTTAAAAATCAACAAAGGCGACGTGGCCTGGTGGCTCGTGGTCGGATAACTTCTTCTTTCGTGCGTCTGTTGGTGTAGATGGAGAGCAACAACTCCATTTCACATTCAGGTGTTAAAGCCAGAAAACCTGTAATGTCTCCTTCGTATTTGTGGATCGGGGCATTGTACGGTCTGCTCAGGATGACCACAGTCGCACACTACTGGAGAGTTTTACGTTTTCCATTTGTGCATCAGGTATCCGCATCTGTCATGGTTTATGCGGATGAGATTTAGGGTGGACCATGAGCTTCGTGGAAGATCAAACCCAGGGATCTTGTGTGCTGGGTCTTTCACAAGGTCAGACGCGCTGAGCTGGTACTGCTGAGCCCAGAGATACAATTTTGGTTTTAGCCATCCGTGATTAAACTTTTTTTTTAATTTTGGTGATTTGCGGTTCTCAGCCTGGCCACAACCACACGAAAAACACACCGCTGCTCTTTGAAAATGTAGAAAAAGCGAGTGTTACTGACTGTACTACCATTCGATGAACACTTATCCATTAATCTTTGTTTTTTTTTTCGGTAAAGTCACGTAGAAATAAGAAAAAATAAAATTACATAATACTGTATACGACGTTTCGATTGCAACACAAGCAATCGTCATCAGGTAGAGGAAACGCATAACCGTTTGTGGAAAAGTGCGCCCCCTAGTGTGTCAACAAGAGGTCACTAAAAGGGATCTCTGGACTACAGTGGTTCTGTAATGTCGCCTTCCACGGGGTAACGCAGGGCTCTGTGGTAGTTCCGAATAGATACTGCAACCCCCATGACCTGATGCCAACGGAATAAAATCGGGGAAGAGACAAAAATAAGTTATCAATGAGTATCAATATGTGGTAAGTCAACAGCAATTGTCCTATGGATGAACTCGTCCCTGTCACGTGGATGCAGAATTACCACTGCTGTTTTGGGATTCGTATAGGAGGCGCTACAAAACCACTTGGACTTTTCTTTGGTGCTGGATGGGGCGTGGTGGTGATTGAGGTGTTTTGGTATTCATAGAGACAGAAGGCATTGTGTACTGTAGGTGATCGAGGTGGTGTTGATGGTGGTGGTGTCAGTCCAATGCTGGATGAATCACTGTCCATACTGCGTCGATCGTAAGGCTTATTTTAATATACTTCTCTGCACTTCACACTAACCACTGCCGGTCCAAGACCAGTTCAGGAATCGCTCTCCAATGGTGTTATCCGTGGCCGAGATCATACTCTCAGGTTGCAGGGTTCATAGCGCAGTGCGCTAACCTCTGTGTCACCACTGCGTCACTACTGGTAATGTTGGTGGTGGTGTAAACGGTAGTAATGATTGGGGTGATTGTAGTAATTACCAGTAGTGGATGTATAGCAGATGAGGCAAGACCAATTAAGGTAATGATTGTTGCAGTCAGCTGTTCTGGCCATCCGCATATCACTGCTTCCCGTTATTTCAGTGGGTGCTGCTGCTCAGTTATACCTACATCTGGAGTCCATACTTGATTATTCCCCCACTGAACTTTACATCAGCCTTTACGCATATAGACTTCTACCCAGCCAGAGCTTCCAGAAGAGGCAACCTCACATTTTTCTTTGTTCTCCCAACACGACTTTTGGTTGTTCTCACCCATCTGCACCGTTAGCCGCTCCATGTACATATGCGACACAAGGCCACTCAGGCAATTGGTTATATCTTGTGTTGTGTCCTTAATCTCTTGTCCCTGCAAATAGTAATCTTGTTAACAACCCCCACTGTGTTTTGTTTTGAAATGGAAACTCAGGCTGGTGGTTTTCTCAGTGTTTTGCTTCTCGCAAATTAAAGCTGAGTCACGATAATTACTGTGTTTCCTTCATGCAGGATAAGACACAAAACATAATTTAATGACGCTGCACCAAATGTCGAGACGTGTGCATCTGATTTTGGAGATGCCGTGCACAATGCTCCCTATTTACGAATGTATTTTTTGGTGTAATTGTTAACTTACCGGACTTGCAATCTAGAAGTCACCGGTTCAATTCAGTCTTCCAGCGTGGCAGTTAAAATGATGGCAAAGTATTCTTTGGGTCTTTCGGTAAAGTCACGTAGATAGGTTAAAAGGAAATAACCAAAAACTACGATGTTTCAATCGCAACACAAGCCCCTTTTCCTGATGACGACCGTTATTTTCTTTGAACCTATCTACGTGACTTTAACGAAAGACCCAAAGAATATGAATTCCTGCAGTCACTAAAGCTTTAAGTTATGATAGTAAAGGTTATTAAATCTGCCTCTGTCCACCCAAACAATGGGTACTTTTTTTTATTTCATCCCCCTTCCCCTGTCCATCCAGCGGTATAAATGGGTACAACCACAGTCAATCAGCATGTCTCATGTGGTGGTGGAAAGAGTGTATACTCGCACATCTTGCAAGACACCTGGCCAGTGTGGAAGAGTAGGCCTCATACCCTCTAGGGGGCTCTGTAAAGCTACCTCTAGATGAGGGCGTTCTGGCAACAGTTGCATAAGCAATACATTGTAGGGCTGCACCTTTAAATTTTACAATTATAAGGTGTCATTTGCATTACTATATAGATGGGACAGAGTCATAAATAGAGAAGAGAAAGGTCTTGAGCCACTTGAACAATGGCAGGGTGTCCGCAGCATGGATCGCAGGAGGGAATTTAGCCCCTGGGGGCAGAAGCAGAGAAGGATAAGCCTCCCATAGATTGGGTGTGGCTGATGTAGTAACTGGATACTAAATCTATATTTTTTAAAACACAGCTGCTCTTAATATGGTCACTTGCAACCACTTAAGTTTTTGTACACGCCTAGGATAAAAATGTAACCCCATATTTTCATTGGCAACCAAATAGCCTTCAGAGCGAGCCTCAAGCGAAAAAAGAGTGCAGCGGAAGGATGCTGACTGATGTCACAGTGGTCACTGCAGTTTTTGCGTGTGGCACTCCAAGTGACATCATGCTACATCTACTTAATGCAAATCTCATCGTCAGGTGACGAAGAGTGTTGTTGGGTGCTTTCTGTTGCCCCATTCAATATGCGTCCGACCAACGCTGCTCGACAATGATTAAATTGACGCCGTATTACGAAAAGCCACGAATATTTTTGTGTTTCATTTATGCCTGACCTTTCGCTTAGACACTGGTGCCAATTATCGCTGGATATTCTGTGCAACAATGGTCTTAAAGTACTCGCATATTTAAGAAAACGATTGCTCATGGCATATGTAATGGTTATTTTTCATTTTGTGATCGAGGTGGTTAAAGCATCAATATTTGTATATTAGCATAGTTTAAACTGAATAAAACAAAAACTGTCTTTTGTGGATAAAGTGCAAGATAAATCATGAAATTGTATTTTAATGCTTTAGAATAGCATTAAAATCCCAAAGCAACCAATAAAGCAACAAAAGGACAGATGGCTTTATAAGCAAGCTGGAATGAAGCAAGTCTCTGAGGTTTGTGTTGGAAAAAACCCCCCAATGAATGCACACATCAAGGCGGATGAGCAGTGACATCACGTCTGATCGAGCCAGATTGCACCAGTTTGAACAGTGCCATAATCCGTTTGTGATTCTACGCCGCACGATTGCCCCACTGACAAATAAGCCTGCTCGGACAGACAAAGCTGCCGTTGTGTTGCGCGAAAGTGCGCACTTAATTGTTCGGTACTAGAATTATCAGAAAAGTAGTGAAATGGATTATGTTAATGCAGGGTATACGTTCCTGGTTTGTTTATTTAACCATGATATCTTAGTGCATAATGAGAACAAAGAACGTTGATATAGATCATTATACCACTGCGTAGGTTTTGGGATGTTTGTGCTGTATAGCTCTCCGATGCATTTTTCGGTTGCCCGGCAACTGAATTGTTACTGAAGAAGCTATCAGCATGTGGAGTGATACGTCAGACTTCATGCGGTACAATAGATTGTTAATGTATTTTACACGATTGTTTTATTTACAAGCAGCACCAATATATTTGAATTTTTATTAATATGTTCTGGTCTTATCCCCCACCTGTGCCCGCAATTTTATCTCATTGTACTATCAACATCATGCCATAAGATGAAAAATCAATTTGAAAATCCCACATCCCATGTGTCATAAAATGGCTGCGTTCTCTGACACCAAACAATTCCTGAAAGTGGTCTTTATCATTCATACAGCAGGGGCTGCACGTTCCCATACACTCTGCTGTGATATTGCTTGTTGCATTACAGACAAAGTGAAATGGATTTTATTAATTATCGGGCATGGCATTTATCCAACTTATTAAGTGCAAACCCACATTTACTCTGATAGATCTAACGTGCAGTCACTTGTGACCAGGCTGTGACCATTAACTCACTACACATAAGAACACGGTTTATTTGTGGATAAACCCAGTATTTCAGTGGTGCCCCTACTCAGGCACTCTGACATCTGAGCCACCCGACCACGCCAAAACCATGATTACCAATGCGCACACAATCTACCGCAACCACTGTTCAAGTTTTAAACATCTTGTAACAACAACGTCGACATCTCAATAATATTCTTGCTGTTTCCCCCCCTTCCCTCTGTGGTGCTGCCCACGTTTTTCGTGTCCCTTGTTTACGTGGGGGCGACCCACCATGCAGGGTTCCTGGCCGATGACCGCATCGTCTTCTGGACGCAGATGTTCTCCAACTACTTCATGGAGACGGCGGAGCAGGCCCAGGACGACCTGCTGTTCTACGTGCGAAGGAAGCGATCGTGTGGCGAAACCCTTGCTCCCAACAGTATCCAGGTCGGTGGGCACAGGCAGCCATCTGCTGTATGTTCGTTAAGGGAGCCGATGAGCTACTTTTTTAATATGCCCACAATATTACGTCTGTCTGTCAGTCCGTCTGTCGAGACTGTTGACCACCCCCACCGCCCCCACAGTGCATATGAAAGGGTCACTTGATGGGATCACATAAGATCCCCTTCTGCGGATTGTTCTGTGTAACGTGGGGATGATTTACTGCTCTGCAAGAGTTCTGAATGGATTGTGCTACAGGATTGCAGTTGCACAATTGGGGTAAAATTCGGGGACAGACAAAAATAAAAAACGAACATTTTCAAAAGCCTTCAATGAATTGCTCTGAAAATAACGACACAGCTTAGTAATGCCTAGATCTGTACACTTGTTTGGGCAAGGTTGGTAAGGAAATGCTGTTGAAAAACTAAATGCATTAAAAAAGACGTAATATTAAGCTGGGTACCAGCGTGGCGAGCGCACGCATGCATGCTTTATAACGCAAGTGCGTTGGTGTAAGCCGACATGTTTAATGTGTGGGTATGTGCGATTGCTTGCTTTTCATACATACACACATGCGGTTTAACCCCTAACAAAACGGATGCTTCTTAAATGGACCGTCTCATTGCGTTTTTCTTCTACCTTCTAATTATGTGTTTCTAGCTACGCTATCGGTGTCCTGTTGCCATGAGACGAAGAGCTTTTCATTTCAGGCCCTCTCGGTGAGCGTCGAATGGTCTCGTGTCAGACCACGGTCCCCTGCAGATCTTGCAGAACTACTTCTCCGGTCACTTCGGTAGTCTCTGATCCACACTCGGCGGGAGGTGCATTGAGTGCTCATCGCACGGCAATCGAATCAACGTTTTTCAATCCCGTAGTTGCAACTCGCCGAATTGGCCGACAAAACAAATGTAATGCGATGGCTTTATGTTCAGTCATTAGCGACCAGGGCAAGGCCATAGGCTCGCTTCGAATAGCACGGTTTAATTACAGGCGGCTGAAATCTCGATTTCAATTCACTCAGTCGTGTTTATGACCAGGTGAGAACCCTATTGAGACAACAGGTCTACTGAGACCTGGGTTACAAAGCAAATTGAGCAAAAAGCTCAACAGAGATTTATACTGTATAATAATACATTTATAGCCTTTTATCCATCCACTGCTGGAGGATGGCATCCCTATGCCATGTCAGCTGTTGTGTTGGGGTTGTTTTTTTTTATCTTACTTTACTACATTAGTCAGTGAGGGTTTGTGAAAGGGGGGGGCGACCAGGAATGGTTCAATATTACTTTCCGCTGACGTTAGCCGTGACGAGGAATTTTTATTCAAGTTGGACATTTTGGAGTGCATTGTGCAAATAACTGCCCCTGCTTCACGCAGCCAAAAATAAACTCTAGAATTATACGATAATGCGTTTAGAGTATGGGTTCAATTCCCAACTCGGGCGCCTTTCTGTGAAGAGTTTGTATTTTCTCTCCCTGTTCTGCATGATTTTCCTCCGGTTTCTCAGGAATTCCTCCCATAGCTAAAAACAACATACTGGCCAAAAATCCCAATGCTGACAATGACCTGCCGATTTACTTGATTTTGATTACACAGAAACATTAGCCCCTCCTAAAACACTTGGCAGGACACTCCTGAAGAAGACTTGATACTCAGGGAGGCCTTCCTGGATAAACAAGCTTAGTAATAATAAGGATCTAGAGTCAAGGATCTCAGTAATGCCAGCCTAGCACTGTGACACTATACGCTCCGTGAGGAACTCCACCACATTGAAATCGAGTTCCGCTCATTGTGAAATGCTTGAATGTTACAGAGCTGCCAGTTAATTAAGTGCACCACGGTGGCGAGATTTTAAACACCTCACTTGATATACAGGAGGTTGTGGGTTCTATCCCGACCATGACCATTCCTGTATATTTGGAGTTTGCTTGTTCTCCCTGTGGTTGCGTGGATTTTTCTCCGGGTCCTCCTGTTTTTCCCTCCATATTTAGAATCGTGCGTTTTAGAGTATTTGGCTGCTATACATTTCCACACGATGATAAACCACTTCGTTGGGCGATCACTTGTGGCCAGGTTGCTACTGAAAAAGAGCTGTATGGCTCAGTGGGGTCTTACTGAAAAAGAGCTGTATGGCTCAGTGGGCCTTACATGATCAAATAAAAATGGTAAAAAAAAAAAAGCTCTGTGGATAACTAGGCCACATCAAAATCTAGTTCCGCTCTTTGATGCATGGGTGAATGTTACAGGGCTGCCAGTTAATTGGGCACGAGCGCAGGTGGTGACGCTTTGCAGCAGCTCCCCCGTGTGCCGACCCCCCTCTGAGGAGGAAACCTAGCCTGGTTTGTCTTCACGCTGTGCAGGGGGGGCCGATCGCACCTCGCCAAAATTGAGCCGAGGAAAAGTACTCTCCAATCCTCTCGATGGATCATCCTTCAATCAATTTGGGCCAGCTTTTGTACGTAGATTATTTCCTTTCCTCGGCTGGTCCTGTGTGTTTACTAATCCAGTAGCAAAACATTGATGTGCTTCTAATATTAAAGTACCTGTATTTGAGTTATTGGGACGGAGCAGTCGCATGGTGGTTAGCAACCCAACTTAATAAACGCAGCGACCCGAGTTTGATTCCCGGCCACGGCCTGCATCAGTAATGAGTGATAGCTGAACTCGTCCTGTGGACCCCTTTCACAAATGGACACTACCAGGCATGGTGAAGTATGATCAAACAACTGCCCTAACTGACACAGCGTGACGAGGCCTTCATTCAGAATTGAATTGACAAAATGCTGTGAATTATGATTTATTATTTGTGCTAATTAGCTACCATGTCCCTTTGTGTATGTGTATAGAGAGCAGTGGCGGATTGGCTAGTGCACTGTACTGGGAACCAACACCACCTGAGTTAAATTATTTGCCATGGCTAACAGTGGCGAGTGACATCTAAACTGTTCCTGGGCCCCTAAGTTGACTCAGTCGTAAATTAGTACCTGGTTTGATGTGTAAACTCCAGTATCTGGGAGAGACGGATAGCTTGCTAGGCATCGTGCCAACCACCCAGTCATGTGCCATGCTGGACTTAATAGGGGCTTGCTAACACCACTTCCTGTAACATTCATTAAGGTTGCACGGGGATCTTTGTTTTGTGTGTTTATTTGTGTCTCTTCATGCCAACTTCTACAGTTAGCAGAGGTGGGAATGTAAAGTATGTGCCATTTCATTGTTTTTGAGGAATATTATTCTAGTGCTTGGTGATTTCAAATGGCAGTGTCCCTTTTTAAACCTGCTGTCTGAGCTTCAGGCATTAACACTGAATTCTAAGAATCGTAAATGTTACAGTCGGGCTTCTGCAAGCTTCAAGCATTCACACTGAACCGTAACAATCGTAAAAGGTGCCCTAGTTGCGGCTCTGCGTGTACTATTGCATCGTTTGGTGTGTATGCACACAGTTACTGGAGACATTCGCTTTTTACTCATTTAAATATACAACAGAAATATGAAATGGACGTGAACAAATTAAGTGATCGTAATTTGCGACGTAGTGATGTCACCGCTCTATAATCTATTAATACACATTCGTTTCTCTATTACCGCTGGCTGGTATTTTTAACACGGTTCAAACTGCTGTGTACACCACCCTCCAGCTTTAGCTTCCCCCTCCCCCTCGCCCCCATGTAGAAGCTGCGGTGCCCTACCAACGAGCTTGTCAAGCTGACGTGGCTGTTCGAGATGTCCCGTTAACTCGCGGGGGGGTGTGTGTGTCCTGCGTGCCACATTTGCCCGTCGCTTCGAAAGACGGGCGAATGCTTTCTGTGGTTCTCTCGATCCGATCCTCGTGAGCGCTTATGCCCATCGTGATCCTGATGAACGAGGGGAAAAGGAGGGATGGGGGTCAGATGGGTCTAGAGCCGAGGGCACGCGAGTGCCGCCTGAACCGGATTACCTAAAGTGCTTCTCCATTAACAATTTTCTTTTTTGGATCGTAATAATAAAAGCGTCGCACGGAGGCGTTGATTAATGGAGGCCATTATCCTTCACGTATGTGCGGCAGGCCATCTTTATCATGCTATTGACCAGGTTCACCGTGAATCAGCCTCTTGTGGTGTGGGAGGAGGCTCGGGCAGTCTTGTGCCATTAGATGCCGTATGTGCTTTACTGCCCGAATGAAATTCACGACATTTGTACGATACGTTCGTATTGACCCTCGCATTGATTGAAGACTATTGATAGCATTCTTATCGGTGCATATGTGCTTCTTCTGAAATCGTCAGTCATTTTTATTCGAGTGCAATACACGTAGTTATCACAACGTTAAAACGAAACATATGGATCACTTTGTTTAAATTTTTGGCATGCGATTTCCGCCTTTATTTTTGTATTAACTTTGTCATTTGCAACTGCAATACCCTCAACTGCCAAGCAGCACTTGAGGTTCACCTATCTGTGGGACGGGACAAGTCATTTACTTAAGCGGAAAATCCTCCGCCGACGCTTAAAATTGGCGTGCGGCATGACGACAATGAGACACATCAACACCGTTTTAAAGGACAATAAACTGTGCTTCGTTGTAAATATATGACTCCGCGCTTCCACTTAAACACAAGGCGCCGGGCCTTGAAATCGTCTCCGGGGAAGGGTGCTGCATCAGAAATTTTCGCGTGCTTTAGGACAACAGGGGGGTGATTTGTTAATCTCTGAATGCTGCAGACGTCCCCCGCCGTCGGACGCGCGCCACGCTTTTGGCCGCTTTCCTGTGTCGGCGGAGTGGGAGAGACGGATGGCCCTTGGCCGTAATTCGCTGTCCCGAGCGGTAGCAAGATCGCTCAATGCCACCAAAGTTGCGCCCGCCGATGTTCGTTACGTCAGAGCGGCCACTCACGTGAGTAAAGTGCGCACATGGGGGGCTGCGAGCCCGGGCGGCTTAAAAATTCATAGCGGAATGAGAGCTTCGGTCGTCCCACTGGCCCGGGACGCTTGTAAAAACCCGTGCACCGTACTTCTCAATTATCCAC